ATGATCGAGAATTGTTGAAGATTGTTTCTCGCCACCAGGGGCCGAACTTATATTCAAATGCCCTGTCCAAGTGCCAGATTTGAGTGGGTCTCAGTGGGGTTAACCGTAAAAAGGCAAAAAAATTTAGCTTGAATTGGCTTAAAAATTGTCAAATTTCAACCGTTAGTCGTAAAAAAAAAAGATTAATCGTGAAAATCTTTCTTTCAGCCGTGCTTATCCCTTTTCACTCCCTGTGGAGCATAGGTCCAAAGAAACCTCACACCATCTCCTATCCCGGGCCAGCCTCTCTATTTCATTCCAGGTGTAGCCTGCCTTGGCCGCCTCCTTGTCCACGGTTATCCTCCAGCTGTTTCTAGGACGGCCTTGTTTTCTCTTCCCCTGTGGGTTCATCAGTGCATGCCTGGTAACATAACTGTTCGGTTTTCTGAGGGTGTGCTCTATCCAACCCGATTTGTGCCTTCTAATCTGGATGTCAATTCGTTCCTGATCAGTTCTTGCCCACAAATCTTCATTCCTTATGACCTCAGGCCAGTGTACGTCCATGATGGACCGTAAGCATTTATTTACAAAGGACTGCAGTTTGTTGGAGGTTGCTTTTGTTACCCTCCATGTCTCTGACCCACACAGGAGGACGGATTTGACGCTGGTGTTAAATATCCGTAGTTTGGTCTTTCTGGATATTGTTTTAGTATTCCACACAGGACGTAAAGTTGTGAAAGCAGTTCTTGCCTTCCCGATCCTCATTTGTATGTCTCGATCAGACCCGCCATCCTTGCGGATGTTACTGCCAAGGTAGACAAAGTCCTCCACTTTCTCGATGTCTTCCTCCTGCAATTCCAGCCTGTCTACATTACTGGTGTTAATTCTCATGCCCTTTGTCTTAGATTTGCTGTTTCTAAGGCCTGCCTTTGCTGAGATCTTGGCCATCCGTGTTAGTTTGGATTGCATGCCCTGGCGATTGTGTTAGAGTAAAGCGACATCATCCGCGAAGGCTAGATCTTCTAGCCGATTCATGAGGGTCCACTGTATGCCATCTCGATGTTTCTCTGTTGTCTGTCGCATTATCCAGTCGATGACCAGCAAGAACAGATAGGGCGATAACAAACAGCCCTCGCGTACTCCGGTGAGTATCTCAACCAATTCAGAAAGGACGCCCTTCTGAATTACCCTGCAGCTGCAGTTGACATAGGTCTTCTGTATAAGGGTAATGTACTTCTCGGGGATGCCGCAATGACGTAATAGCTTCTACAACACGTCTCTATCAACACTGTCAAAGGCCTTCTCAAAATCAACAAAGGTCTTGTAGACGGGAGAGTTCCACTCGAGCGACTGCTCCAAGATGATCCTCAAGGTGGCAGTATGATCAGTGCACGACCTTTCCTTCCCGGCGAAATCCAGCTTGCTCATCCCTCAGTCGTTTGTCCACTCCACCTTCAGTCTCTCCAAGATTGTTCTGCTCAGTACTTTTCCGGCAGTTGATAGCAGCATGATGCCTCTCCAGTTCTTGCATTCCCTTAGGTCTCCCTTCTTTGGTAATTTGATCAGGTAGCCTTCTTTCCGGTCATCCGATACCTCATTTGTCTCCCATATCTTCCCAAACAGCTCGTAAAGCATCTCTGTCGAGGTACTTAAATCTGTCTTGATGGCTTATGGTGGTATGCCGTCAGGTCCTGCAGCTTTTCCATTCTTTAAGCGTTTGATGGCTCTCTTGATCTCTGCTTTGCCTGGCCTGTTCTCATTGACCAGTAAAGGTGTGTTGGCTGGTTCTATATCAGGCATCTCACTAGGCGGAGATCCATTGAGCAGCTTCCTGAAGTGTTTTGCTCACTTTTTTCGCTGCTCTTCTCGATCAGTGAGCACCTCCCCGCTTTCGGCTCTAACAGGTCTTTCTGTGGTCTTTCTGACACCTGCCAGTGTTTTTGTGAGGAAATAAAGCTCTTTCACATCGCCTTTCCCTGCCGCTTCCTCTGCTTGTCTTGCAAGGTCATCCACAAAGTTCCTTCGGTCTTTCCTAATGCTTTGCTCAACCTCTCTGTTGACTTTAGAGTATCTGATCACGGCTTCTGCTTTCTGAGCTCTTGTTTCGCTCCGGTTTAACACATCCTTTTCCTTCTTCCTACCCTCTATCTTTTCCAGTGTAGCTGTGCTGACATAAGCCTTGTGATGTTTAGTCTTACTTCCCAGTGTTTCCTCACATGTCTTCTTCCAGATATCTTTTATCCTCTGCCATACCTTGTTGACTACCGTTTGGCTCTCTTCTACCCCTGGTTGCTACTCATTCTCCTGTAGACTTGCTAGTGCTTGGAAATTATTGCGCAACGTGAGCTTGAACCTGTTTTTAGTTTCTACCTCTTTCAACAACTCGATGTTATACTTGTGGCTTGTCCTCTGTGAGCTAGTGTGATGGTTTTTCAGCTTGTCAATCTAGTTCGCGGTCTTGTTATCAGGAGAAACCCAAGTCGCCTTATGTTCCTCTTTATGTAAACACCGCCCCCGATCACTAGCTTGTTAAAGGAACAGAAGTCAGCAAACAGCTCTCCGTTTTCTTTCATTTTCCAAACATCATACGTTCCCATAACTGTCTCAAAACTTGTGTTATCGCTCCCCACCTTTGCGTTGAGATCTCCCAGCAACAGTATCAGATCTTTATTGGCTACGCCATCTATGACACCTTGTAGCCTTTCATAGAAGTCAGCCTTTGCATCGTCATCAGCTTAATTTTTGTATAGGTGCGTAGCACTGGATGAACGTGACTTTACCAATCTTGGTATAGCCTGTAGTGCCGGCGTATTTTGGGCGCACGAGTGCACATTTTCGTATTAGGCCGCCATCTTAGATTTGGTAACTGTGAAGGATTGGGGCGAGGAAATCTTTGCCGAGGGAGTAGGTGTTAAGTGGAAAAATGGGCAACGGGGAAGGAAAAAATACTTTCCCCTCCCTCTCCCCCGTTGCCCATTTTTCCACTTAACACCTACTCCCTCGGCAAAGATTTCCTCGCCCCAATCCTCCACAGTTACCAAATCTAAGATGGCAGCCTAATACGAAAATGTGCACTCGTGCGCCCAAAATACGCCGGCACTGCAGGCTAATCTTGGTGTGGAAACTGTCCGTGATGATCCTGGATGACACCGGGTTCCAGCCTACGAGTGCCTTGGCTGCTTGCATGGTCAACACAAAGCCAACCCCCTTTGTGTGCGGAGCATTAGCATGATTGTGGCCAGAGTAAAGTACAATCTGTCCTGTTGACAGCCTTTTGCAGCCCGACTTAGTCCACCTGGTCTCACAAAGGCCTAATATCGCCAGCTTGTAAATGGTCATTTCATTAGCAATTTGTACAGCCTTTCCAGCCTCGTACATAGTCCTGACATCCCAGGTACCGAACAATGTTGTTGTCTTGGGGTTAAGGAGGGGAGTCGACCTCGTAGCTTTCTTTCAGCTTTTACCACGATGCGTCATACTAGTCTCCGAGGAGACGTTCTCCTGACCCAAGACAAATATGGTTTCTGTAATCAGTTTCATCCACTTAGTGGGTGATTAGCCCGTCAGCTTCACCAGAGCCCCGTTGGCCAGGCGTTTCAGGGTTCTGAGCAGGCCTTCATGACTACCGAAGAGGCCCAGGGGGAACAGGCCCCCCATCATACTTCGCCCTGCACAGCATTCCCCTACATACCTGTTTCCGGCTACCGCGACAAGGACAAGGGGATTGGACTTTGGCAGCCTCTTTCAGCCGCAACGGAAAGAAATTTCGCATTAACCATAAAATGGCAAAAATTTCAGCTGTTGGCCGTAAAAGTCTTCTCCCCATGGAGACCCTCAATTGATTTTCACATCTTTTGTAAAAGACTTCCTGTTTATTGACCAGCAATTGATTTAGCTATTTAGTTCTATCTAGACCTTCAAATTACTTACATTTTCCGTCGTCTCTTTCCCATTTTAAAAGTGATAAAACTTCATGAAAATACTTATGACCAATCTCTCACGTAATAATTAAACAAACGGGGAGTGATTTCAAGTGTATACACTATAATTTTTTTTTCCAGGAAAGAAACCCGTTGTTTAAACTAATGCTTGAGTATGTTTTTAGTGATAAAATGTAAATTTATAATAAGTAGTTTAAACCTTCGCTGACTGTAAAGAATGAAATTCTGTGGAAAGCTATATCACGACCTCATGACCCAAAGTCTCTAACAGGGTCTAGTGTTATGAAAACCTCTCTTTACTTCAAAGGATCGCAGTCTTGCATATCATGATTCCGAATGAATAAATGAACGAACAAGAGAACGAAAAAACGAACGAACAAACGCTCTAATGTGAAGGTGTAGTCTGATCGTCCTAATCGTCCTGATCGTCCTAAAACGCTCTAATGAAGGAAAGAAAGAACGAAGAACCAATGAACGAAAGAAAAAAACATCGTAACCACCAATTAACAAACGAAAGAGCGACCAAAAGTACCCACGAACGAAAGAACATACAAATGAACAAACGAACCAACAGAAAATCAAAAAACAAACAAACGAATGAAGAAAGGAAGGAATGAATTTATACTTTATTACGACTCTCTTCTCGGTTTTTTTTTTCACATAATTCACTTCTCGTACATTATTGGATAAATTTGTCGGGAGATGCTGTTAGCAACGAAAAAACAATATATCACCATGCAAGAGAAGGTAGAGATTCTGCAAATTGAGAACCATTGTCAGCGCGTTACAGTTTAAAAGTTTATGGCATCGTAGTTATTGAAAGCAACGATAGACACAAATTAATGGTAGCTTTACCAATGTTCTTAATGGAAATTTCTTTTAAAAACAACTTTAAATGAGTGAGAAGAAACCCGGCTTAAAAGGTTAGAAAACTTATACTTTTCTCCGGTGACATCTCATCTGCTAATTGCTGACAAGTCACCTGCTCCAGGAGAAAAATAACAAAACGGAACTTTGTCATTGTCAGTTTAATCCGTTTTTAACTAAAAGAAGACATCCAGAATTTTTTGCGCTTTGAAACTAAGCTTCATCTCGAAGCATAAGTTCTTCACTTTCTTGCTGGAAAATAGCGAATTTAAAAAAAAAACGCACAAATTAAGATTTTCTTTTTCCCGGCTTGTCGAAAATACATCAAAGTGTTTTAAAACGGCGTGCGATTGTCAAAGGGCAAAAATTATTTTGGCACTCGGCAGAATGCCAATCAGGTCTCATGTTTTGAGTGATCTCATTTTGATATTTTCTTTGCCTTTAAAGTCTGACCAGAACGCGTTCGAGTGAGTCCTCTACGTTTACAGTCAAACACGGAATGATCTTTTCAATTGCGTCATTAAGTGTTTGTATGGCGACATCCGTACGGATTTCGCTGGGGCAGCGATTCGCAGCATCTTCATACGCGGTTCCTTGTGTTGTAGAGCGTTTTCAAGGATTGATATTTCCAGTATTTTTAGGTTTACCTTTTGTTTTATTAAGTCTCGCCTTTTCGCCCCTACGTGCTATTTTGACGAATCTATAGTTTTGATCATTTATTTTTAGCGTGTGCTTGAACTTGGCTCAGTTCTCGCCGTGCTTGACATTTTAATTCCTTATTATGGTTGAGGATAACTAGTTTGCTACGTGGTCATGTTTGGGTTGGTAAAACTGACCTTGAGTTTTACCCACACTGAATATCCTGTTTTGGAAATTCCCACGGTCAGCTAACCCAAACATGTCTGTGATTTTTGTATTTAATACTGGGGCACTCCTTGCTGAAAGTAGTAGAAATTAGCAGTGGAGAAAGAGAGAGAAAATTAGCTGTGGTAGAAGCAGCAGTATGGGAGAATAAAGAAGAAAATTACAGAGTCTCAGTACCTCTTTTCAATTCGCCAAGCGAGTGGTAAAACCCCCACAACACTTGTCAAACGTCGCGCACTGACTCAATCCAACCAAGCTCTGGCTATGCCTTATGCC